CGTGTTTATTTTTGTAACAGCCTATATACAATCCCTAAGAAATGATTAGTGTGTAATCTGGGTTTACATTTCTATCCTATTATGATTCTTATAAAGACAAAAATACACAGGAATTACCAAAGAATCTTCAAAGCATTACAAACAGAAAGCAAAACAGTCTTTTCGATTTCATTAACCATTTAAATTTTGTTGGTAAAATACACTTGAGGTCCTTTGCTAGGTAACTAGTACTTGTAGAAGGTCATGGGCATGTTTTCTTCACTAGAACTAATAGCTATTCAAGAATTTAAGGAAGTTTCCAATTACTTAAGATTTAAAATAACTCTTGCCAGTTTAATAAGAGGTACAGTTCTAATTGCTTAATGTTATTTTGAACTCCTCATTATATTGGTTATTCTGAATAATTTCTGGACATTCTGATATAAAATTCCATAATTGTGGTTCTCCTATTAACCTAAGAAAGTAAAATGTAAATTTCTTTAAACTATCACAATAGTTTAAGATTTTAAAAACACAATATTAAGCCCTTTACTTTTCTTTATCTCTTTTTAAAAGAATTTCTGGCCTACACTCTGATGTCAATTGCCAATAGGCTAATTAAAACACAGTCACACATTCTATTTCCCAGTGTTTAGATTATGAGGGTCAACACAATGGCACAAAAGCTTTAACTGCAAAGTTTATGTTTATATTGCTGAGAAATAATGATACCATACTCTCTACTCTATCTAAGCAATTTAGCAATTTTCTAAGCAGCCCTCTACATGGGGGAAGGAAAGTGCTCCCTTTTCTTGGAAGTCTTTCTTTTCTGTTTCACATTCAAGTGAATTAACCCCTATAGAACTTTTTTGAAGAGAGAAATTATGAAAAATAAAATAGCACTAGACTGGATGTGCCCTTCTGACATCTTGCTTCTTCCAAAATAAAATGGCTCTGTGGAAATAATATTAGTGGTGTGTTTGACAGAATGAATTAAAGATGAAGTCAAATAAAATCTGAAATAACAAAAGGGGCCCAGTTATTCACAAAAGAGGTAAATTTGATGTTAATTTAATTTATCTGAGCCCTATTGTTGGTGCTTTTACAAAACTATGTGCTAATATTTGCATGAAGTTATATTTAGTTTTTTTGTGTGTATTGTTAATGCTTAAAAAACAAGTAAAAGGTGCAGAATATATAGCTTTCTTCTGAAACATAATTTCCCCCCATAGTCCTCCCCATTTTTACCAAAAATAGTTATGTTAATGTTGAGTCTTGGTTCTTAGTGTGTTCTTCCCTGAAGAATGACCAGACACACTACAAGCAAGGCAAGCAAGAAGGAAAGTTTATTGAGCAAGGTGAGATAACATATATCACAGACAGTGAATGGACCACATGTCATAACTGGAGGCCTCTATTATGGTCTTGGGTCCTGTTTTATATTGTCTAGGCTATGTCCTCTTTATCATATATGGTTCAGATTTCACCATCTAACCACTTTGATGGACAGTTGGGAGTTTCCAAATTGAGTCATATCGCACATTCAGATCTCCCTTGAGCCTCTCTGAAAGCCCACTGGGGGAGGAGATGGGAGGCCTACTTCAATGCAAATTTAAGCTAAGGACATGATAGTTAGCCTTAGCTTACTTTAGGTTAACTTCGAGACCTGCCCTGTTTGGCCCAAAGGTTGGGAACCTCTGCATTCTTTTGCAGTTGGCTTACTAAGTTCTTATTTGCAGATTGGCAGGGTATTCCTTCTTCCACTCGGTGTGGCAATCAGTAAGGGTGACACCAAGGTGGGGCACCCACCTTTTTCTGCAGGAGAGCTGGAGGTCTTTCATTGTCTATGTAACATTAAGAACACTTTATTTGTAAAATAAGTTTAGTTTTGTTAACTTGACCTGATTATTTCCATAAAAAGCTTATATAATAAGCTTATAAGTTGGCTTTGCTGGAATTTTCTCGCAAGAAATTTCTGATTATGTTTTTAAAAATATCTCAAAGCCTAAAAGGCAAGCCAAAACCTGTGTCTGAAATACCTGTACAACTTGAGTAGATGTCTCTTTGCTCAGTGTTCCTTAAATACCTTGAAGAAAGTGATATTCTTCATTTAAAACAAGATCAGGAACCTTGTAAAAGAATGATATATGCATGGTACCAGGCTAGTCTTTCTTTAGGTCTACTGGCTTTATAAAGCCAACTTCAATCCCTCATCAGTCTTATCATATTTGAAAATATGACGTTCTAGTCACACCGTGGTTAAAAAACCAATGTCTCCAATTGTATCCTGCCATAAGAGACAACAAAAACCAAATTTTTACTGAACTTATGTGAATATCTGTATTGTCATAAAATAAAACATTCAAAAATAGTTTCAAAATTGTAAAGGAAATAGAAAGATAAATGTTCAATTTCTTTTTTCTTTCCTTTTTTTTAAGAGGCAGAGTCTTACTTTGTCACCCTCAGTAGAGTGCTGTGGCATCACAGCTCACAGCAACCTCCAGCTCTTGGGCTTGGTGATTCTCTTGCCTCAGCTTTCTGAGTAGCTGGAACTGCAGGCATCCACCACAATGCCTGGCTATTTTTTGTTGCAGTTTGGCTGGGGCTGGGTTTGAACTCACCATCCTTGGTGTATGGGGCTGGTGCCTTACCCACTGAGCCACAGACACTGTCCCAGTTCAATTTCTTTATCAAATGTAGACATTAACAAATTTCTGTAAAGCTACAGAAAGGTTAAAAGAGAAGAAATTTTTCTTGAATCTGGAAAACAAAACTTGAAATCAACAATGTTTTAAATTAAAAAAGTCATAAAAAATTATTTTAGTACTTCATCAATCACTAGTATATAATTAATCCCTTGTTCTACTTAATGTTAATCAGCAATTATATGAGTGAGAGTCCTTTTTTAAAAATTAGAGTTCTGAAAATCGTTAGTCAATGATAAAATTCTCAAAAGTTGTCAGAAACCTGCATTTGTGAGAGGTTTTTTTTTTTTTTTAATGAACCTTATTTAAGACATAACACTTAGGATTTGAAAAGAGCTTCTATAAAGAACAAAATTAAAATAAAGCAATTTACTGTGAACAAGACTTAAAATGACCTCTTTTTTTGAAACAGAATCTCTCTCTGCTGCCTGGGTTCTGCCTACCTCACAACAACCTCAAACTCCTGGGTTCAAACTCCTGGGTTCAAGCTATTTCCAAGAATCTGGGACTACAGGTGCCCACCAACATACTCAGCTAATTTTTCTATTTTTAGTAGGGGTGGGATCTCACTCTTGCTCAGGCTGGTCTTGAACTCCTGAACTCAAGTGATCTTTCCACCTAGGCCTACCACAGTGCTAAGATGATAGGTAATAGTCACTGCAACTGGCCTAAAATGACCTCCATGAGAGATCTGAAAGAGTTAATAATGATGCAGTTGACAATGGAATTCAGTTATTTTCTGTGGCTTACAAAAATTTTACATCATAGTCATAACGATGACTGTTAATGTATAGCAAGACATATTTTCAGAAAACTATACAATTTGTGCAGGGGGCATGCTAATCTTCTCTGTATTGTTACAATTTTTTGTATATGTGCTGCCAAAGCAAGCACAAACCTATAAATTTATAAAACATATTAATAGTATAATCTATATGAATAAATCCAATAAAAATAGCTTGAAGCACACATAGCTGTTTCTCCTTTTTTTGCAATTTACTCAAAAAGTGAAGAAAATTTTATTATCTCTTATTAATATTACACAAAATACTGTTAAAAGAGAAAAACAAATTTTACTTTTGTATTAATGTATTAGTAATACTAAAGCTAATTTTAATAAAACCTTATACATGAATCCATTCAATTTTAATCAGCTTTGACCACACAAGTAAAATTTCCATAAACCTTTTGCAAATTGTTATAACTTTGTTCATTTTCTTTTTGTTTCCTTAATTTTTATATCCATTTAATTTTATCAATGTCATTATTTTTCTTTCTTCAATTTGAAAGATTCTTTACATAATTTCTAAACAAGACAAAATAATTTGTTTCTTTAACAAAACCCACAAGCTATGTCTTCTGTATAACATTTATTTCTAAAAATATAACCTACCTTCCTTATATACTCTGAATAAATAACTATTTCTCTTCCATCTAATAGTTTTAATCACATATATTAATTATAATTTTAAGTCTTAGACACCCTAACATTTAGTGAAAAACCTAGAAAGTAAGCAATTTTAATTATTTTGAATTAGGTGTAGAGCCCAGGACAGAGGACAAAATTGTGAAGAAGGCCTAGAGAGGCCACCTTCTCATAGCATGGCGAGGAAGCAGAACTGGATTGTCTGGCGGGGTGGGGTGCATGCATATTGGGCATGACTTTGCCCTATAATTGGTGGTCCAGGCTCTGTAGACACTTATATGTTTCTAGGCCTCACCATGGCCACCTTTCTAGACCTTGGACCACAAAGGCACAAAACCACAGACAAGAATAGAAAAGCAATTATCCAATGTACTCATTACAAATATGAAGGCAGCAGACATTCTAATGTGTGCTCACATAGGAGAAAAATTCATTTTAATTCAAGTTGGGGGAAAGGGTAACAAGGGAGGGGGAGAAGAGAAGGGGGTGGGTGGGGTGCTCCCACTGAATGGGCATGGTGTGGCGGTGTTTGGCACATCTTTTAAGTGCGGTACATAACCACAAGAGGGACTCCACCTGACAAAATCAAATATTTTGACCTGGTTGTTTGTATTCTCCCATCATTTAAAAAAAACAACAAAAACCCCCCAAACCTTTTAAATATACAAGCTGCAAGCTTTCTATCCTGGGAGCAATCAGCCTTTCACCGGCTCCTGGAGAACAGCATCTACGGATTAGTCTTTCCTGCTACACCCTGGGGGTGGGGGAGGCTACTGGTTTAAATCCCATCGGTGGTGGGAGATATGTGTCATCAGCCCCTTACAGGGATTAAAACAAATGGAAAAGAGTATCTATAAAATGCAAACCAAAATTTTAAGTCAAGGGTAGGCCTAAGCAAATGCCTCAAAATAGTAGCAAATAAACCCATGTGAGACCAAAATCAAGCATCCCTGTAGGGTTTTCACCAAAGTCACTAAGGAGGGAGCAAAAGCTGCAACCCTCCCAAGATCCAGAACACTCCCACCAACACTTAAACCAAGGAAAGTTTCACTGTCCCAGCACTGACAGGCAATGCACATTTCTGTCCAGCCATGTTCTCTAGACTGTCTGCACACAAAGGCCCAACAAGCCATGTGCCCTATAGATAGAAGATTAAAAAACAGTCAGTGTGACAGGAAATCAAAAGCTATCCATGCGAGTAGAAAGGATTATAAAATGAATTGGTACCACAAAGGTTGAAAGTCATCTAAGTATCAAACTAAGTTTTCATTAATGTTTCTTTTTTTCCCTAAGTTAAAGGACTTACATTTCCAAGGGACTGGTGCCCTGGTGGGGAATTGAACCCAGGCCATAGAAGTGTAGGCACAGATACTCAGCCGCTAAACTTCACGCCTTTTTGTAGATTCTTCAGAAGAGTCAAAGCAGGTGGTTTGAAAATACAAAGGGTTTTACTTTTGTTTTAAATACGATTTCTGATTTTTAAAAGATCTTGCTGAAAGAGTTTTTAAGATTACCTATTCCTTTGGAATCTTTTAATAGGCACTGATAAGATAGCTATTTAAGGTGAATTGTCTGAAAAGTTTTCATTTAAATATAGCCAAATTATTTATTTCATAAGTGATCTGAATCAATTAACTTTTCTCATGGAAAGTCTAAGAAATAACTGTCCAGGTTTAATTATCCTAGACCTATGTCAGATTTTTAAACAGAATAAAAGACTCTCTCCAATGTGTACTCCCAGAAATGGGCAAAGATAGCAAAAGATTCTTGTTTCCACATAAGTTTAAGTATGGTCCTGAGTATATGGTGTTGCCAGCATCCCAGAAATTTGTAGGGTGGCCAACAGTCACTGACTTGTTAATCTGTGGCAGGCCCTCTTGGGATTGAACTTTCCCAGGCCTGACCAGGTAACAAGGATTGAGCCACAAAGCCCCTTAGGATGGGACTTCTAATTAACACAAATTCCCCTGACAGGTTGGAGATTTGGAACAAAGTGCGCACTGCTTAATATTTTACATGACTTGTGCTTACCAATCTATTTGGGCTGACTACCAGATGTGACCCAAATCCCTCCCCCACCCAGTGAGAATAAGAGCACTTCCACCTTGTCATAAGTCAAACTTTCAAGCACATAAAACAGAGGGGAACCCCATACAGATTTTATCTCAGAGCCTATAATATCTCTGATGACAGGATAACCAGGGAAGAAAAGAAGAAAAAAAAGAAAGATTATTACTGGGAGAAAGGGGACCAGGGAACATGAATATTTTTACCAAGATGTATACAGAGTTGCTACAAGTAAGACTAGTCTACTTACACATTTTTCTTCCACCAATCTTAAATTTGGAAGCAAAAAAGAGACAAATGGTGACTTTTGCCATTTGCTCAACTGAATTCCACAGAGAGAGACCAGATTACACCTGGTAAAAACTTCTAATCCTTCTGCTAGCTTCTCATATCTTGAGTTCCTTGGTCTATGGCTTCCAGAAGAGTAGAAAGGTTCTGGTACTGATCACAGGTGCCAAAACCGTGGCGGCCATGGGAAAACTACTCTTGATGTTTCCCTGAAAATCAACTGCCAAAAGGAAGATTAATAGGAGAAAAGTCACACAAAATTTATTAACACGCACGTGTGTGGGTGTCATACAAAATGTGAAAACTCAAATAAAAGGCCAAATGGTTGATTATTTTTATACCACCTCGAGGTTACAGATAGAGTAGAGCTTTGAAGCAGGACAAGACAGGCTATCTATGGGAGAGAGAAAGAAAGGCATGGGCAGAGACGGTCTTATTATGTAGATGAAAGCTAATAGCAGCTCTCAGAGAGCATTAGATCATAATCTGTGGTGCAAGTTTCTCTGTCAGATTTTTAAAAGTATTAGACTTTCTTAGATCTGGACAAAGTGGGCAAGGACTTTGGGGAAAGCCTGACTGCTTATTTTACCCTGCTACTTTTTTTTTTTTTTTTAATTGCCATACTCACAAAACTGCATGCCAAAATAAAACTGTTTCTCTAAAACTGAACTGGGAAGCCTGATGATAGACTTTATTCCTCTCCAATCCCCTATATTCTTTCAAAGTTTCTAGTCATACTTTTAGTGACCCACTAGCTTCTGAAGAGCGGTTCTGTCCCATTAACTTCTCTTTTTCCTAAAGCATTTCTGTTTTAGACTTGCATTATCTCTTTCAGTTTCTGTTTGGGAAAAAGCTCATAATTTTATTAAATGTTCTTCCCTTCAAGAAGACTTGCAAGTCCTTTGGATTTCAAACTTTGATATGTACAAATCAAGCTTTTAGCATTCACAAAATCCTTTTCTTTCTCAAGTCTCTGGCTCTTAAAATTGGAAAATGTAGCTTTAAAATTGTTCTTTGCTACAGATTTATAAATGTCTATTGCAATATTGGCTCCCCATTGAATTTCCCGTGGCCTACTGGTTGCCAAATCCTAAGCATATATTCAATTCTATTTTACTTGACCTCTTTGGCCTTTGGCAGAGTTAATGACTCAGTGCTTCAAATCTACTTTTCCCGAGATATCTGAAAAAATGCTTATTCATTGTTGATTGTCTTTCTATCTTTATAGCTTTTTTTTTTGACCTGCATATTCAATATTAGTGTCCAAATGAAATGGCATATACATTTTTCTTCCAGCTTAGATATCCTGCCCATGGTTTCAACTGCCATTTTTGGTACCATTTGATATACTGAAAATACTGCTGTCTAGATTTCCAGCCCTGACTCCTTTGAGTTCTTATTTGGAAGCACAGTACTTGGTTATTGCTTCTTTGTGTGTCTGTCTCACCCAACAGCATTAACAGCACTGTGTCTGATATGACCGAGGTCTACTACCTGCTAGCCTCATATTTTTTTTTTTTTCTGTACATTATGGTTCAATAGCAGCAAACTATTTTAGTTCCCTGAAAATGCCATACTCTCTCTAGCTCTTTTTAGACTTTACACAAATTAGTTTTTCTGTTTGGAATGCCTTTTCCACCACTACTTACCACCAGACATAAAACTATTTGTCTTGTAATGATTAATTGGAATTCCCTCCCGTCAATGAAACCTTCTCTGAATTCCTAAAACAAGTATTCCTTTCCAAGAGCTTCTTTTCTGTACCTCGTATGTAATCTTTGGTATGTCAGTCATTAGACTGTATTAAAACTGCTCGTTATAGTATAAGGTGACCAGATTTTAACATTGGAAAAGCGGGACACCATTGACGGGGGTTGGGGGGGCTTCTTAATTAAGAATTTGGTCTATGTGGAGCAACAAAAATTTTCATAGAACACAAAAATAGTATTGTAATATATATATTTTTATATTTCAACATAAGTACAATTTACAAATATAATACATTTTAAAAAATTATGTATAGGGCAGAGCCTGTGGCTCAAAGGAGTAGGGCACCTGTCCACTTGGGCGACCTTGTCCAGGAGGGGAGTAGGGAGTTTTCATTAGCCTTTTC